AAGACGTCGCTGAATAAAACATCCTCGGGTCGATCCAACGGTTCCAGACCTAACGCCATGCGCATTTCAAGTGCAGCGGCCACCAACCAATAAAACCAAGCCATAGAGGTGAATGGCAGGCCGATGGCGCCTGCCCATGTCAATTAGACAATCGTGATAGCCAGGAGTATGAGCCATTGATGCGACTCTGTAACCACAATCCTGTGAACTTTGATGCGACTCCGTGACCACAATCCTGTGAACTTTGATGTAGTAAGCGTGACAGGAATAGTGAACAAGCATCAAACGTACCAAATAGATCTTAGTATAGACGTGCAGAAGATCCAGGGGATCTGTATCCACCGGGAAAACCGCCATTTCCCACAAGCGAACGGCGATGTTTGGCCTCTCGCCAGATATCAACGACGTGCCGTAGAGCATATACACCGAACTTCAGTGCCAGGAAGGCCGGGATGAGGTAGTACGTCCAATTCACGTAAATGTAGAACTCTACAAGGCGATAGAACCACCACGACCGGAATGACGGGTGAATGCATTGCGACTTGCCGTCATCGCCCCCGAAAACGTGGTCTCCGCAAAGTACATCAAGACCTGCATGACAATCCAGAGGGATAACATGATGAGCGTGCTGACTGCGACGACTATTTGGTATCTCCTGGGAGTAGAGGAGAGTCCGTCGGCAAAAGAGAAAACGCACAGTCGCGTAGACGAAGTAGACGGAAAGTGGGGAGATGTGGGACGAGAGCAAAGTGCGAGTTGGGATGGACAGGTCTTTGTTCCGCATTGAGATGAAGGTCGCTAGGAGGATCGTATAGACCTGAAGGAAGACAACACCCACGAGACCTATGAGATCGCCTTTCGACCATTTGATAAGACATATGTTCACGATGAATGCTGAGCGGCCCATTAGGAACAGCCTAGTCACGACCCACCGGAAAGTCGGACGAGAAACCCCTGCATATCAGGATCCCCCTCGTCGGATACGAAGCAGTCAAAGTAGTTATCACCTCCCGCATCTCGTCGGGCGAGAAATGGACTTGAAAGTACCATGGTGGGGGAACAGAGCTGGTGCCTCGACGAGCGTGCTGGAAGATCAAGACGAGGTAGGGGAGCAAGATTCAGGCGAATGGCGAAGCACTAATCGTCCTTCTGTCTCGTTATATGTAACAGACATGATATCCATCGTGATCGGGGATGACGAAGGTAACATAAACGCGATACCGTTGGCCCGTTCAATAGTGGGCGCTACAGCGTGAAACAAGAAGTGAAGGAGTTGACTGGAGTTGATGTATCAAGGACGCTTGATTCCTGGGCAAGAAATTTTCCTGTCTAAACGAGATACCCATAGCAAGTAACGGTCGAGTAGGACGAATGCAAAACCCGACAGTATGGCGCTCAAGGAAGGCAGATTTTACCATAGCACAAGAGCCGATGCGTAAGGTGAGCAAATTTAGGAATTGAGTCGTGCGCATCGTGGTGCAGAACCAACGACGCATGTCCGAAAGCGGAACACCACATGGCTTATCGCCGCACGTGATGTGATGTTCATGTTGACGCGACGCGTTCGACCCTGAGCACGCACGGCCAAATAGGGATTCCTTTCATCCTTTCATTCATCCTGCCCCACCCCCTTCATCAACAACGCCCACTCCACTTCACCCGGAAACCATCACTATGCGAGTAACTGTGAAGAACTACCACGCCGTCGCACAATGGCAGTGGGATCTAGGGGCTGGAGATCGCACGGAAGAGGAGGAGGACGTATGTGGGATATGCCGTGTGTCCTACGAAGGGTGCTGTCCTGCGTGCAAGGTCCCGGGAGATGACTGTCCGCTTAGTGCGTCTTCTGCGTCTGCTTTTATGTCGTTCATCATCGCTGATTAGAGAAACCGATAGTCTGGGGCGAATGCTCCCATGTATTCCATATGCACTGTCTCTTGAAATGGATATCGACTGTGTCGTCGCGGCAGCAGTGTCCCATGGATCGTCGCCCATGGGGTGCGTGTTTTTCTTTGCTTTGTTTCACATCCTCGCCACTGCGGCTGTTCTCCCTCTAATTGATTATCCTCTTCGACGCCCGACTTACACCATTACCAGTTACCGCCGAACGAAAGATCGCTGCTCCTAGTAGCTGAATGCCCGAATCGCCTTTGTATCATTAGTATACCTCCTCCTCCCTCTTATATTCTGTGCCCTCATATGTATTTTGTTCAACCGGAGCTCCTTCATGTTTCCCGTAATGTGGTGTAATATCGAACACTCATATTAGCATCTTCTCCATACCAGCACGGCAGGTACAGGGTGCTTTCATTGTACATGCTGTATCACCTATGGCGCATTTTACTCAAGGAGCGTCGTGTACGGAAGTGGGCGGGTCCGGCATTCAACTTTGACGTTATACCTTTGTCAGAGTTAATACCTTTAACTCGAACTGGACGATGTCGCCTTCCCCTTGTCCAGATGAATGCACTACGTTCGTCTCCGTGGTAGCGGCAAACGCCGAACGGTTCAATCCGGTCCGGACAAATTGACCTCTTGCTCTCCTGCTACCATCACAATTTCGCCCATGTCTGTATCATATCCTACTCTTTTCCGCTATCGTGCCAAAAATAGTCATGAACGTCACCCTTCCTTCTATTATCCCAAAATGCATCCGTCTCGGAACCAAAATAGAGCCCAACGCCCGTACAAGACGCGACCGCCGTCTTCCTCCGTCAGCCGGATGAAGGAAAGCGCGCTGCCCCTCGGGCGCGGTCGGCTGATGTACACAGGCTTAGGGCTCATCCATGTCCCGAGGTGGGAACGGAGGGATGGACCGGGCATCTGCGACGAGGGAGTGGTCTGCTGACCGGGTGCCTTCGACGTGGGCGCGGTGAAGGATGTGCCGTGGTTATAAGTTTGGAATGGGAGACGTGAATCATTACCACTCGCATCCCTCGTACTCGCATTTCTTCTTCCCTCTCGCTCGACATGAAGGTGAGCGCGACTTTGATTTGCAGGAACCGTGTGGTATTGATGAAGTGGGCGTGAAGGTTTTAGCTATTTTGTACAACGGCTTCAAGCCGCGCAGCAAGAGCCCCGGCTTCTCGGGACTGTCGAGAACAAGCTCGGCATCGCCAAATGGCTCACGTCCCAAGGTCATGAATTAATTGGTGCGTACAATCATGCGTTACACAAGACTTACTTACACCGTTTTTAGTGAGACTTTGTGTTAAAAATGATGGATATCAATCTCAACGAACGATAGGTGTCAAGTAGCAAAGAGGGACCGGACAGCGACTTCCAGAAGCACATCGAAGATGTAAGAGTTATCATTCATTCCCGATAATACACCTACTTAGCGCCAATACTCCGCAGGCCGAGATCCTAATCACCACGCCCTTCCACCCAGGTTATCTGACGCGCGATCTCATCAGCAAGGTACGTGTCACCCCTCCCCGCCCCCCACTAATGTCACTTACCCTCCGTAGGCGAAGAACCTCAAGCTCTGCGTCACCGCCGGCGTCGGCTCCGACCACATCGACCTGGACGCGGCCGTAGAGAGGAACATCCAAGTCCTCGAAGTCTCCGGGTCCAACGTGACGTCCGTCGCGGAGCACGCTGTCATGAGCATCCTCGCGCTCGTGCGCAACTTGGTTCCCGCCCATGAGGTACGCGGTCATCTTGGCGCTATCTAAATCGACTCTGACGACCTGCGCAGATGATCGAGCGCGGCGACTGGAACGTGTCGGATATTGCGCGCAATGCGTTCGATCTCGAAGGAAAGACCGTCGGGACGATTGGGGCTGGGCGGATTGGGTACCGCATTTTGCAGCGCCTCGTGCCTTTTGATACCAAGCAGCATTTGTACTACGACTACAATGCGCTCCCGCCTGCTGCGGAGAAGGAGGTGAAAGCGCGTCGGGTAGAGGATCTCAAGGAGTTTGTGTCTCAAGTACGTGGATCTGTTTTGGGGAACGACACCTACCTGATGCGTTGTGGTAGTGCGATGTCGTGACAGTCAACGCGCCGCTGCACAAGGGCACAATGGGGCTGATCAACGACGAGATTCTCTCGCATTTCAAACCCGGCGCGTGGCTGGTCAACACCGCACGCGGCGCCATCTGCGACGCTGATGCTGTCGCGCGTGCTCTAAAGAGCGGACAGCTCAGCGGATATGCTGGTCAGTCGTAATGTTCCCTCTTCCCCGCTCACCGTACCCACGCCCTACAGGCGACGTATGGAACGTGCAACCCGCGCCCAAGGACCACGTCTGGCGCACGATGAAGAACCCGCTCGGCGGTGGAAACGGCATGGTGGCTCACTACTCGGGAACCACGATTGACGCCCAAGCGCGCTATGCGGAGGGCACGAGGAAGATTATCGAGAACTACTTGACGGGCAAGCCGCAGGAGCCGCAGAATATCATCGTCGGGCTGGGAAAGTATGAGACGACGGCTTGTGAGTTGTTTCTCGTCCACGTTTTATGTGTGGCTTTTGTTGATGTGTTTTCAGATGGGCAGCGATGATCACTAGGATTTGTACGATATACTTAGAGTTGTTCTATCCGCTCAAAATACATTCCTCTCTGTAACAAAATGCTCCAGGTCTGAAGTTATGATGATATCGAGTCTTCGATCATAAAGCTAATTGCGCTGGTGATACTCGTACTCATAAGCTCGCTGAGACGAAGAAGTTGCAGTGATACCATACATTGGATACTAGATGGAGATGTAAACGTAGTGACCTGTTGAAGGCAAATGAATGAATCCCCGGACGCACCTAGATCTACGAGAAGAAGAATAACATCTAAACGACTGCTTGATCACTAGCTATGTTCGGTCTTATGTCTTAGCGAGGCGAGAAGATGCTCGAATACACATTTGATTGTTGAGAAAAGGGTCCCGGGGCAGGTTAAATGCGCCACATGGCGCACACTCTAGCAACCGGTATGCAGGTGAAGTTGGAACGAACGTACTGCCCGCAGCGCCCCCCGACAAAAAAGCGGAACCATTCTTCCATTCCCGCTAGCCGGATTGAACGACTGACCTCACCATCGCACTCACGGATGACTGGCATACGAGTGGCGCGCTCTACCACTGAGCTAAGAGGGAGACAAACATGCATCAGCATCATTCACTACGGAGCCATGGGCATGCGACAGCAGTTCGAAAACAAAAAATTGCAGAACAAGAAAGAGAGATTATAATACAAGCGATGGATTGAATTTGCTCTGCCCCTTTCCCCTCGCTCGGTACACCATCACGTTTATACTCTCACAAGAAGCGCTGCAGTTTATCTTCCCCAACACTGTTCAAACAAGCGGCAAGAAATGCAACTAGGACCGTCGACCGCCAACCTGTTCAACCATCACGTCGATGGTGTCTATCAAGGGATGGTGTGAGCATGATAGAAGATTAGAGGAAGGAAATGTAAGAGAGGGAGGAGGGGAACAACGACGAGAAGCAAAGTCAGAAGAAACCTCACCATTCTCCTCCATGTCAAGACTCGCGGGTGTATCGTCGTCGTTTATCCGCTCACCATCGTATAGAAATCTAATCCTGTATGAGCGGGGACGGAGACGATGAGGGATACACGCACCGGATACTAGCGACGTCCTTTCCAATCTTATTCGCGTACGCGCCTTGCAGTTTCTGCAGCTTTGTGCTGCGTTTGATTTTGAAGAAGACTTCTTCGCCAGAGGACGCGACGACCTGGGTGAGGAGTGTTAGCGGGGGGACGAGGAGAGCACGCGGGGGAGGGGGAAGTCATGTTGTGGCGCAATGGAGGGTAAGAGTCCCTATCGCCACTCGATTTGGCAATGAACGCCCGCCAATTTCCTGCTGTCCGCCCGCACCTGCTTGTATGCCCATCCAAAAATCCATCCAGCAGCGCGCGCCCATGCAGCCCAACAAGACGTCGCAAAGCCCGAGTCGTCATACAGAGAGAAAGCAAAGACGACCCACCTTGACACTAATCGGAGCATTCGGATCCTTATCGGCCTCCGTGTCCGGCTTCACGTCCTGCTGCGACTGCTGCTGCTGTTCTTCGTCCGACATCGTCTTTCTTTCTTTCCGTCTTTCGTCCTTTCACGTCGCTTTGTCGTATCCCAGTATTCGGGATGTCTGTCCGTCTGATGCGGGTTATGCTGGATTCGCGCTGCGTCGGTGTTGGCCTCAGCGTCTGTGCTGCACTCGCGCGATGCTGTGAGAGTCGAAAAGCAGGCACACACACGAGCGCTATCCCCGCCGATTGCGTAATCCCGGCGGCACGTGTTTGAGCCCCTGATTTGATACGCTCTGCTTTCTTTCTCCTTCTCTTTCTTATTGAAGCAGGACAGAATGTCAAAACGCTGAACTTCTTTGCGAGACCACATATCTTCAGCTACTGGGGAGTAGCAACATCCATCGCTGCTGGGGACAAAACCGACGTCGACCTGTCGCATTACTATACCTCGTAAGTCACTTCGCTTCCTTGGCTTGCCCAAGCAGATGATGCACTCCCCTCGCTGGTTTACAAGACTTCTTGGGGGTTTGAATGTTCCTGGCGCTCAACTTGGAAAGCCTCTTGCTCGAGCGCGATCGTGAAGAGTATGCTGCACTCAAAGCCCTTAACGTTGGTGTGTAATCGCATTGGCTTGAATGCATAGAATGAGTATCACGATACTAACTTGATGTGCAGGAAATGCGTTCACGTTTGCGCAGAAGTACGAGGCGATCTGGACTATTCGCCATTTTCCGGATGGCGGAGAAGGTCAGAAAAGACTATCGTGACATGCACCTGATGAATGCACATCTAATTTTTCTGCGTAGTCGTCCGAGTCGAAACTGGCGTGAACGCGGCACGGGCCGTTCGTGAGCCAACACAGAACGCTGCGATTCTCCCTACTGATATCTTTGTAGGGCGAAGTCCTTCCCTAGAATTACCCCTTGGTATGCGTTGCTCGTTCCAATATCTCTGGCGACCCGCCTGAAATCATTCGTATAGCATGGCGATATGCCTGCTCTCGCCCCGGCCAAGGCCGTCAGACGCTCGCTCTCAAGGTGTGTCTCAACCTAGGACACACGGGATCGGCTGAAAATAACATTGCTACTAAGTACAGCCCTCAGAAGTAACTCCGCTCAGGACTCAAAGGCTTGCGGCGGCTATCATCGAAGTCATCGTCAACGGCTACGGTTCGTTTTGTAATGGATGTCACCAACCACCGTACTCTTACGCGCACGCAGGTCACACCAGAAAGTCGTGAGACTCGAGCTCTGTGGGGAGAGTCCCAACGTTATCTTTGACAATGACGACCTTGAACACAGCGTGAAAGGGCGTCAATGAGCATCTTTTCTATCCCTGGTACTCGATTATGTCTCTGCCATCACACTGTATTACTCACTGTGTAATAGCACGAACTCGCGCCGCCGGATCCCAGATCCTCGTTTAAGACACCACTTACGATGCTTTCTTGGAGAAATTCAGCGTCGCGGCGAAGAAGTGAGGTGCTACCACCGATAGTCCGTTCGACTTGGAACCCAGCACGGCCCACAAGGCTTCAGGACCCAGACGGAAGTCAGTCTTATTTCACTCTGTTCACGTCGCACGCTTTCGATATGTCCAGGGAGGAATCTTCCGCCATTTACGCCGGCGGCGCGCGTCATGGCGGCACCGGATTCTTTGTCCAGCCCACCGTCTTCTCTGAGACGAACAATATGAGGGAGGAGATCTTCGCTTCTATTATCAAGTTCACTGCCGCAAAAGGTACGTCATGTCTGCGGGTTTTCTACTAAGAATGTATTGAACATAAGTAGACGATGATTTCTGCAGAAGCCATCCAGACTGCCAAAGACACTGAACGCTGCCGCCGTCTTTACGGAGAACAGTGCTCGCGGTATCCGCGTTGCTCATGCTCGAGGCTGGGAATATGTTTGTCAACAACTATGGCCTCGTCGGGAATGGGATGCCGTTCGGAGCCAACCAGCAGTCTGGATATGGGAGAGACCTGTGAATATGCGCTTGAGATGTGAGTGTTCTTGTAACTTCATGCTTAGTGACGTGCCCTAATGCGCATTGCAATAGCTATACCAGGTGAAGGCGGTTCACGTTAACCTGGGTATTCTGCTTTGAATTCCCAGATTACATTTTCTACTGTACGGGGGACGTATGCACATCTGAATCTGAACTGTTTTCAGGAAGTGCCTGTCAGTCTGTGGCTGACAGCTGTAGATGTATGACTCATTAACAACAGTCGTTGAATAGTCGGCTTCATCCAGTCGGTATACCGATCTCAATACCATTTTGTTGACATTAATCGATCTTCGTTTCCAACAAACGATGATCGGACACCTAAATCGCCAGTGAAGCTGCTGACGTAGGCACTATCCCTCTTGACTTTTACGGTCATGTCGTTGTACTCGCGCCCATCGTTCCTCCAGCCCTCGATCTGCACTTCATCTCTGCCCGCCTTGATGACTTTTTCTCTGGTCGCGTTCTCCGCTCTTGCCGTCTATCGCTCGCGCCAGTACTTGCCTTGCAGCGTTCTTCTTTGTTTCGTCTTGATTTGCACCGCCATACTCTACATTGTGTGCGTCGCTTTCCCCTGAAAGCCTCGCCCCCATCGCTAATTCTTCATTTGTATGGCAGCCGAGTTGTAAAGGCGGTTTCAAGTTCGACTTCTGTCTTGGACACCAATACTATGGCCTCGGAGTCATCTGAGGTTTCCCTTTATCGCTCAAATCATTCCGCCGAACAATTGCGTCCCATTGCTCATTCTCTTCCACGACGCACATTCCCTTTGCCTGCGCCGACTTTGACTAGACTTCGACCCCAATCCTCGTCTGAAAAGACGCCTATCCCATCTACAAAGGAGGTGCCTCCGGATGAGGCATTATTGAGGTTTGGCGAACGGCGATGCACAGACGGAGTGAACAAATGTCAAGGAAGATCTACCATCCTAGTTCATGCGGATACAGGCGATGTGTGGATCCCTCGCAAGAAGAGCGAGAACAATCTTCTCGCGGGTAGAATGGGGACATTGGGGAGACGGGATGTAAGCGCCAGGAAGGGAAACTTAGTCGTAGACGAACAGGAACTCCTTCTCTCCCTCCAATCGGAAGAATCAATGGTTCTGCTCAATTCTATCCTGCACGCACAGAGGCATCCTGCCAATTTACCTTAGACTTTGTTACAGCATCTAATCCTTCGTCTGTTCCTCTTTCGGTCGTCCTCGTCAGGTTGCGCTACAAATTATTCGAGCGAAAGATCTCTAACGAAGGAAGTTCGTGTCATGAATAAAATTACTACGGGAACAACGCGCAGGAGTTTATAGCTACTTGTAGGCAATCTGGATCCTCATACCCTTGTTCACAAATGCCTTGAACAAGGCTGCGTGCTCGTCCTTCTTGATCTCAACCTCCCTCTGCTTCGTATGTACCTCAATATCCACTTCTCTCAGCGTCGCGATGCAACATTTCTTCGCTTGATTTCCAGAACGCGACTCGATCAGCCGTTTCATAGCCTTTAACTGCCGTGGAAATCCCACAACCCTGAGGACTTCCAACGCTGGTGAAGGGCGATCTGAGGCACCCTTGGGTTTTGTGGAAAGCAAGTCCAGGATTGATGTCGGAATGGGTATGCCGCTTCTAGTGGCTTCAGCGTTGGCAATCATGTTGAGCTGAAGAGTAACGAGTGCTGTTTGAACTGTAAGCAGTTCTGCAAGAGATTTCTCATCGACCTGGCATCGACGAAATGAGAGCTCCGTTAACATGCAACCAGACCGCCGAAGAAATGAGATGTTACTTGGACGGGGCCAAAACTCGGGCGGGTAATCCCCCCATACGAAAGGGAACGGAGGCCGGGGAGTGTTAGATGCCCGAAAATAGCATTGTTTTCATCCTTGTTCACAGAAGCAAGGTGGAAGGTTGAAAGAAGCGTATGGGTTACGACGCGATGGGCCCGACAGGACGGGTAATGGAGATGCGAGCAACTTTAAGCGTTTCAAGCAGAGGCGCGCGATCTAGGAGATCCAAAAGCTGTACAAGAGATAGGGAAGAGAATTCACTCGAAGATTGGAAGGTGCGCAGGCGATGCCCTGCAGTTGGTGCATCGATGAACCACTGGGAGATATTCG